ATTCCCCCACACGCACACCTGCAGCCTCTCCCATGCTCTGAAGCCCTGGCTGCCAGAGTCCACCATTTTCCATGCTCTGAAGCCCTGACTGCCACAGAGTCCACCATTTTCTCCAGGAGAACTGATCTCTGCCATCTGGAGAGCAGTTTTAATTCTGAGTGATCTCCAGCCCTCACCTGGAGATTGTGGAAAAGGAAACAAACTCACTGGTAGTATTTCATAGTGACATTCTTCAAAATCCATGATGGATTTTAAAATACTACCAGTGAGTTTGTTAAATTGATTAGTCTTGTATTTCGACTATTCACTGACAAAAGTTGTACACGAAACGAGATGATATGCATGATCCATTGGTGTTGATGGCGTTTGAATTGCATCCAGTAAACTGAATATTGGAAAAAGAAATTTCTAGTCTTTGGAGACTTAACAGATCTCCCCCGCAGAGAAAATAACTGCTTTAGAAGGTGGGCTGTATGGCATTCTGTTCAGCTGAGGCCTCTCCCCTCCCCAAACCCTGGCTTCCATAGACTCTTCCAGAAAATCTCCAGGAATCTCCCTACCTGGAGCTGGCAACCCTAGACTCAATACTGGCCCCAATGAGTTCCTCACAAAGGCCTGCAAAGGGTTTCCTTCCTTTGTCTGAACCGAGCTTGGTTGCCTACTGTGGCGAAACGGGCTCCAGTTTACCACTCAGCTGTTTGCCTCCCACCCTCGTCCCGTGGGCGTATCTCACTCCTTAAATTTCCTCCCACGACTCACTGAATTGTCACTGCCTTTTTAGAGGGACGGTGAGACCCCTCTGGCCAAATCTCCATATTTGGAGATGGAATCCCCAGTCTTTGGGGGATCTCTGGAAAGTTGGCAACCCAAGGGTCTGGCCTTTCCTTGCCTCCTTGGGCTACCCCCTCCCTTTGTTATTGTGCAGAGCGGGGGAGACTATGTGGTCAGAGCACGACACAGATTATTAGCCCAAATAAAAGAATTTATCTAACTATACAGTTATGGGGCGTGTACACTCACTGTAGGAGTGCATGAACCAACTGTATGAACCAGCACAGCATAAACCCACAGGGGTTAAACGCCATCCTCTTTCCTTACACGCTGGCCTTTGGCTCTCTGCTCTAGCCTCTCCCTCTCTCTCTGGCCCAAGAGAGCAGGGTTCCCCCACGTCGCTGGCTTGTGGCCTGGACAGCTCGATCAGCACAGGCAGCAAGCAGGAGCCTTTCCTAACCTCCTGTAGGATGAAGAGGGCCTCCTCCCTGGATGGGCTGCAGTCTATACTGATGCCGCCCCGCGTGTTGGGACAGCCCCTGTTTTCCCGCCCTTTTCTGCCTTGGGGCAGCTGGGAACTGTAGTCCAGCAGATGAGGAAGCCCCATTCGACCCAGTGAGTGAGACCTCTCTGGAACTACAGCTCAATTAAACCTTATGGCGGAACATTTTAAACAACCACAGACAGCAGCCCAGCAGCCATCTTACAAACACAGGTAACTGCCATTTCATTATCCCCACCAACAGCCACTGAGGGAAAAGTTAAGTCCCAC